TTATTATTATTATTATTATTATTATTATTATTATTATTATTATTTTATTATTATTATTTTATTATTATTTTATTATTATTATTTTATTATTATTATTATTATTATTATTTTATTATTATTATTATTATTATTATTGTTATTATTGTTATTATAATTATAATTTTGCCGTTGTTGTCGATGTAAACATCGTCATTATCACGATAGTCACCATTATCATCACCATCACTACATGTCACATCGATATAAATAAGATTTTACTGGCAATGAGTCTATTATATGCTCTTTATTTACATGCACAGATATGCAGGACAACACACACATACGCGTGTATAAATGTGCGCGCATACACATAGACACGTATATCCATTCTTTATTCTCTATTGTATGTAATATTTTTATTTTCTATTATTGAGCGGGAGGGCACATATTAATTTCGAAAAAAATAATTGCGTAAAATTCTTCCACGGAGCGTCGAAAGAATTACGCTGAAATTATTTTTTGTATCGAATTATAAAAGGAAATGAGACGTTGATTCCTTCGACCTCTTTATGGGAAATGTAAAATGGTGCTCGTTCGTGGTGTACGTTCAATTGTAATTTCCCTCTTGTCCACGACGCTTCGGGGAATGGTCGCGAACAAATAATATATTTATAGTATGTTATGAATTTAATTTTTTCAGATGAGACTATAAGTGCGAGAGGCAAGGAAATTTGCCTAGTTTTTAGCATAATTCTTGAACGATAAAAAAGGTCATTGATAGTGTAAAAATACATCAATATTTATTGTACATAGAGTTAACAAAAAAAAAAAATTACTAACAAATAAAAACGAATCAAAAATAAAGGCTTCGAGAGAATATTTTATACGAATAAAAGACTTTTAAAAACTTGTAGAGCGTGGCTTGATACACGCATAGCAAGAACAATTTTGCACTTGTTTAATTTCTTTCAGTTTTTACCCTGTGATTTTTCATCAATCAGTTTTCTATTTTCTTCTAAACAAATTATATTAATTTTAAATTATTATTAGACAAATTTAAAAACAACAAATGTATATGTATTTGTTTTAAACACAGATTACCTTGACTTTCGTTTTCTTTTACGTTCTTGTCGTCTTTTTTTCTCAGCATTTGCCAAATCTATATATTTCTTTCTTTGTTCCGGACTCATTTGAGTCCATAATTTTCCTGCTGCTCGTGCAATTACAGTTACGTGTTCCTTAGGTTTTTTACTTCGTAATCGTAGAAAAAAGATGATAAAAGGATTAGTTGCACGACATTTTATTTTCTCTTTTCCATTGGTTCGGGATTCGGAACCATTTACAATTCTTTTATTCTTTCCGGGACGATCATCTACGCTACCCAAAGGTAAAAGATGCAAGTACGTTTTTATGTACTATCTTTTATATTTAATTTTATTAGTATGTTATCGTTAATTTTATCGGGAACAGGACATTGGGGTAAATCAAAAATTATCTTACCTGTCACCACTTTCTCGCTTTCGTTCTTTTCGCGATTTCGATGATTGTACGGATCCGGTATTTCCCATCCTCCTCGAAACTCTGTCGCAATCGTTTAGCAAATTCTTGTTGTACGCCGCATTACTTGACAATTTTTTGCAAAAACTTTTCTCAAAAACTTTGAAATTGAAGTGACATTGTCAATGAAAAACATACCTTCCCTTGTTTTTCCAAGACAAACGAGTAAATAAAAATTTGAATTTTCTATGAATCAATTTTTCGAATTTGCTTATTCTCTCCAAGAAGAAATAGAAAAGGTTAAGAGAGAAATGAATGATCATAGGATATAAACTTATATTTATTAATTAAATAATATAATATAAATATTATATAAATATTATATAATATTAATATTATATATAATTAAATAATATAATCTTATATATTATTGAATGTGTAAAATATTCGTATCGTACAATTTTCGATAAATTAATATTTGTCACATATATAATATAAAAATAAATACAAAATCATAATAATTATTTTACTAAAGATTCATAAACGAAACGTATAATACGTTTCATTTAATTGGCACATTACGCCATTTTTTCACAATTCTCCACCTGCTTGAGCAGCCTTTTTCGGTTTCTTATTCTTATTCCATTTCTCTCCACAATAGCAAGCTTCTTTTTGTGCATCTATATAACTCTTACATCCCAAAGCAGTTGTACCAGTGAAAAGCATTTTTGCTGCAGCTTTGCATGTATTTATTATTGCAGACGATTGATATCCATCGCAATATTTATATAGACATCTCTTAAATTCCAAATCACATTTTTCCTTATCCGAATTACAAGAATCGTAACAAATGTCATGCGCATCACAACATTTCGTCATTTCTGTAAGCGGTAGATATTCTTGGTTTATCTAAAATTATTAAGTTGATTAATTTCTTTCTTGTTATTTATTATGATAACACATTATGATGTTGTGTCTCTATTTTCGAAAATTTGCCTACTTCGATTCCTAGAGAACCACATCCATTACTTTGCGGTTTATGATTCCAATCTGGTTTCGGTGTCATACCTGAAATTGTCATAAACAATATATGCATATATCTTCATATTATAAATTTATTAAGCAACAACCAATTAGATTTAACTACATTGAAAATATAAATACTAGATAGTTTGTATAATAAATATTAGATAATTTTTAATATATAATCGTGAATATATCTTGCAAAACAAATTTCTGATATTATTTATAATTATATAAATTACATAATATGTTGAAATAAATAAAAACAAAGTAAAAAGTAAACGTAAAATAAAATACGTAAATTATATTATATTATAATGTTATTATCGCTATAAATTTTGACAAATCATCAGTATTTTGGAGTGAAATAAAGATAGAATAAAGATTTGAAATTAACGATAAGTAATGAACGATAAGTAATAGGTTAAATATATATACCTCCTGGACATTGAAAGATACAATTTTCTTCTATTGCTGCATCAAATACTTCATGGATATCTCTGATTTTTCTAGCAACAGTAATCGCATTTTGGAATAAATCTTGAAATATCGTTTCTGCTGCTAATACAGCATCTTTTAAATTCGATAATAAACCAGCTCCATAACCTGACCACGCATAAGCCAAAAAAGTCAAAATATAAATTAGAATTTTTCGATATTGAGAAAAATCCATTTTCATATGTTTTTCGATGCCCTTAATGATATACGTTTCACTACTCGTTCAGATATTTTTAGATAAATTGATTCATATAAATATATACTTGACCATAGACACGTGGTGACAAAGAACGAAATAGTTTCGTAATATAAGAACTTTTGTCACATTTTATACACACATATACACTCTCCATTACAAGTATGTGTAAGTGCATATACTTATTTAAATCAAAATTAAAAATGATTTTAATAAGAAATTTGTTTTAACTTAACTAAGATTAACAGTGATTTATAATCATTATTATGGAAATGCAAAGATTAAAGTATAATATAATATTCTTATATTCTTTGTTATTTGTTTTTATTTATTTAATAAAATTAACAATATAATAATGAATATATAAAATTATGATATAAACAGTAAGAGTAATAAGAATATAAGCAACAGAAGTAATGTTAAAACATTTTTTGTAATTCTCCTGTTTCGTAAAGTTTCTTCACGTCTGTTCCACCTCCTAAACATACTCCATTTACAAATACCCTAGGTACTGTTCTAGCTCCAGTCATTTCTCCTAATATACTTTGAATTTCATCTCCATCATTCCTTTCATTCAGTTCGATAGCAGTATATTCTTTTTGCAAATTATGAAATACCTGAAATAAATCATATTATGCTAATTGAAATGAAGATAAAGAAATTATTTGATTAATACTTGTTTAGCCATTTTGCAAAATGGACAACTTGTTTTAGAAAATATCACAATGCTATGAGATGCAATAAGTTGGTTAACTTCCTCTTTTGTTGTAGGCATCGCGTTTTCCTCTGTGCTGAAAATAAAAATCTATTGTAATAAATTCATAAAATCGTTAATATGAAAGAATAACGAATTATCCTATATTTCGATTTTCATTTAAAATAATTATTACAAATTCAACATTTTCTCAACAATTAAAAATCATTAACAGTCGTTCGGACCTTTAACAGCTGTCACATAATTTTTCTTATCGACTACGTAAGCCAGACTACTTTTAAGAATTATTTTCGACATATCGTTCATAAAATCTAAAGATATTCTATGCATATTGATTTATTTTTAAATCTTTAATTAAAAAAAAAAAATATATGCAAAGAAAAGATTTTAAAGCTGAAGTTTTTTTTTCTAGGTTATTACTTAAACAAAATATTGTCGCTAAAATAATCGATTTTTAATTAAGAGAGTATTTGAGTATAAATTCTATAATTTTCAGTTCTACCTGTTATATTTGTTAATTACATATTCTTTTATTCAGAAATGAAATTAACAAAAATTTAACATATTACATATTTTCTTAATTCACATATGGTAAAAATTAATATTATTTAAAGAATTTAATGTATAAATTATATATTAAATAATATATAATTTATATTTATATATTATTATTATTATTATTATTATTATTATTATTATTATTATTATTATTATTTCACATATTATATTTTTACAAATAACAAATAATATACTCACAATTATTTAAAATTTTTTATATTTTAACTTGCCATGCATATAGTGAATGATAATTGGAAAAATATAAGCTTATCTCAATAGCAAAGTGTACTGTTTCCATGAAAAATGTTTATGCGTTATCTATAATAAATTTTAAGTGATAATTGAATTGTAAATTGGAATAATTTATATTCTTTCTGATTTTTTTTTTTCCTATTGAAATTTTATTAGTGATAAATTCTTCAATGAAATTTCTAAATAAAAATGATACTAATTTTTTAGAATATACTAAGTTTAGAATTCCATATTTTAAAATTGAAGATGATATCAAAATTAATGGAAAATATACGATTTTTGTATGAAATATGTTTGTATGAAAATTGATATTATTTATATTTATATAAATGCAATACGTGTAAATAATTTCTAATTTTTACACGCTAGATGGCACATTATTATTATCGGTTTTGAACGTTTCTTTTAAAGTGACAATTCAACGACTATCGTGTTGAAAGTGTTCCCTTGACACTTGACGTTACGAATTATTGAATATTTTCTAAGGTTTCGTCGGAAGAAAAAAAATGGTGTAAATGACAAGTGTTCTAAAAAAGATGGGTAGAATTGTGAAAATGGCCTATCCTGGAGGTGGTTTATACGTTGTTGAGAGTGAGGTCTGCCTCCTGGTAACGGCTATGAGACGAGGTGCTCGATGGTCTTCTCACTCTCATCAGGTTAGAATATTCTTTTTATATATATAAAAAAAAAGAAAATACTTATATTTTCTCACAATTATAATTATTTATTTATAAATTTAATTATGAATTAGATTTATCATATATATATATATATATATAATTATTATTATTATTATTATTATTATTGTTATCTAGATTTATAATATGGTTACTATAAAACAGATTATATTAGATATTAGAATAGTAGTGATATGAAAAATGAATATTATTATAATTAGAAAATGATTATTTTAATTCAGATTTTTTATTGTATAATCTGCATATTTTGATGCCATTTTCAAGGATGACGATCAAGATACTCTTATAAAAGGATTATTCAGTTTAAAAGAGGTGCTGAATGAAGCAAAAGATTTATCTTGTTTAGATCCAGGTGTTTTTTTGGCTCCATTTTTAGAGATTATACGATCAGAAGAAACAACTGGACCTGTTACAAGTCTTGCATTGTCTGCTGTTAATAAAATGATATCTTATGGTCTTATAGGTACATATCCATTATTTTATTCGTTATATATCATCAATATATTTAAAAATATATATATTAAAATAATAAATAATTTTTAATATAGATTCAGATCATCCAGCGGTAGCCCAGTGCGTAGAAGCTATTGCCGATGCTGTTACGCATGCAAGATTTGTTGGGACCGATGCATCTGGAGATGGAGTTGTTTTAATGAGAATTCTTCAAGTTTTAAGAGCTCTTATGTTAGCACCAGCTGGTGATTATCTTTCAAACGAAAGTATTTGTGAAATTATGCTCAGTTGTTTTAGAATATGTTTTGAAACACGACTCAGTGGTAAGAAAATTTTGAATATTTTATTTCAAATTATTTTTCAATTTCAACAATATTCTTTTGATTGATAGAATTATTAAGAAGAACAGCAGAGCATTGCTTAAGAGATATGGTACAACATCTTTTCACACGATTACCTCAATTTGTTGACGATACTAGAGTTTTATTAAATATGAAAGTAAGATTTACTAAATATATCGATCGAATGTAATATTTTTTTATTTGATATATTATATGCTTCTAGAAAATGAGAACAAATAGTATGGAAAGTAATCGAAGTAAGAACAGAAGAAATAAAAATCATAGTAAACAAAAGGCAAAACAGAATGTAGATAATATAGGAGATATTGAAGATCCACTTCCAAGTCCAACTGATAAAGTTAAGTCGAGTTGTTTGACGACGCCTGTTAGTTCGACAGGAAATATTGTTGATATGCAAGGTTCTTTAGATCAAGGTAGCATCGAAAAAACAGAGGAAGAAAAGAATGATAACAAAAATCATAACAAAAAAGATTTAAATGATGTAAACGAAACTATTAAGCAGGAAGATATATTTGATTTGAAAAAAGAGAAGGAAGACATAAAAGATTCGAAAGAATGTAATAAGCAAAGTTGTAGTGAAATAGAGGAGAAAAGAAATGTAATTGACGAAAAAGAAATTTTATCGAAAGAAGACAAAAATATAGACAATATAGAAATAGATAAACACAATGAAACTAAATCGGTAAATTTATTAAAAGAAGGAAACCAAGGTAATTATATTTGTTTTAATTATAATTTAAATTATAATTTTAATTATCATTCTGTTGATTTTATAGAGGATATGAAGAAATTGATAAATGATAAAAAAAATACAGATTCGATAAAATCTTTGGCAGGAAGTGTCGAAGACTTAACGTCAGTCGATGAAAATATAAATAATGCATACAAAACATCTAAAACCAAAGAATCTGAACAAATTGAAGAATATATAAATGCCCAAGGAGTTCGTTTTATGCCACATCAACAATTAGCACCTTATGGTGCTTTGTGTGTCCGTGAATTATTTAGATTTCTCGTATCTTTGTGTAGTCCTCTCGATAAACAAAATAACGAAGTTATGACACATCTTGGGCTCAATTTATTGCAAGTAGCTTTAGAAATTGCGGCTGACTATCTTTCCAATTTTCCGTCATTACTGGCACTTGTGAAAGATGATCTTTGTAGAAACCTTATTTTGGTAATGATGCGATATCTTTATTTTTGTTAAGTCTTTTATCTTTATTTTTGTTAAGTTTATTTGGGAATAAAAACATAAGAAAATGAATAATTATAATTGTATGAATAATTATAATAATTATAACTATATTTAATAGCTTCTTGGCACAGATCGATTGTCGATTCTTGCAGCGGATTTGCAAGTATCGTTCTTGCTATTTGAATCGCAAAGGCAGCATTTGAAATTCCAAATGGAGCATCATATAAACAAATTAATGGAAATAGTAAGTTCTGATTCGAATAGGATATCATATGATCAGCGTGAACTAGCTCTCGGTACGGATATTATATGACTATTATTAGCTCTATTTATGAAATATCATTTAATTAAAGTAACGCAATAAAGTTTAATCTTTTTTTTTAATTTTAGAAGCTATTGTACGATTATGGAGAATACCCGGTTTACCAGCAGAATTATATTTGAACTATGATTGCGGCTTGTATTCTTCTAATTTATACGAAGAATTAATGAAACTATTGTCAAAGGTATATCTTGATTTCATGATAATAATAATAATAAAAAAAAAAAAAAAAAAAAANAAAAAAAAAAAAAAAAAAAAAACGCTTGTATATAACGCTTATATAATATATTAATATATTATCTTACTTGTTAAAAATTGTATTCGATTTACATTTCGTTATTAGAATGCTTCCGCATTAATGGGTAATATGCAAAATATGCAATTCGTTTCTTTGGATGCTATATTCACGTTGATTTCTGGAATGGAAATCAGATGTAAAGGCTACAAAGAATTATGTAAACCATCTCGACATGATGCATCACCAAATCTTCCAACACGAGAGGAATTGCTTAGTATAAAAGCAAATAAACGGGTTTGTATTTAATTAAGATACATTTTTTTTTTTCGTCTATGTTTTTCTTTTTGTTTTTCTTGCATATTTTTTTATTCTTTTTTTTTATTTTTACAATTTCTTTCCTTTTCGTTTTTTTTCTATTTTTCTTGTTGAAAAATCATAGAAATATATATTCTTTTTATACGTAGTGGTTGATGCTTGGTACAGAAAAATTCAATGAAAATCCACGAGAAGGAATTGCTAAACTTACGGAACATAATCTTTTGGGTGGAAGTCCGGGAAATCCCGATCCAGAGAAAATAGCTAAATTTTTGAAGGAAAATCCTGGCCTTGATAAAAAAGCTATCGGGGAATACATTAGTAAAAAAGAAAATAAAAATGTTTTAAATTGTTTCGTTCATAGTTTTGATTTGAAGGATATGCGAATCGATCAAGCTTTACGACTTTACTTAGAATCTTTCAGACTTCCTGGCGAAGCGCCACTTATTTCTTTGTTGCTCGAAAAATTTGCCGAACATTGGCACGTGAGTTTGGTTTTCCATTTGATACGTATATATATGTGTGTGTGTGTGTGTGTGCGTGCGTGCGTGCGTGCGTGCGTGCGTGCATGTATGTGTGTGCGTATAAATATAAATATAAATATAAATATAAATATAAATAATAATATAATATATAAATATTACAATAATAATAATAATAATAATAATAATAATATAAAAAATTATATAAAATGTAAAAAAAGATCGCGTATTTGTTTGTTTTCCAGGACAGTAATGGAAGGCCGTTTGCATCGGCAGATGCTGCATTTACTTTAGCATATGCTGTAATTATGTTAAATGTTGATCAGCATAATTACAATGTGAAAAGACAAAATAATCCGATGACGGCTGATGAATTTAAAAGAAATTTGAAAAAAGTGAATGGCGGTACTGATTTTGATCAAGGAATGCTCGATGAAATCTATGCCTCTATTAAGTAAAATTTTCTTTTCGATCATAATTATCTCGATTTTTAATCTTATAATTTATACTTATGACCAGATACGTGTAATTTCTTTTTTATCAGGGGTGAAGAAATTGTGATGCCTGCCGAACAAACCGGTTTGGTGAAAGATAATTATTTATGGAAGGTATTGTTACGTAGAGGTATTGGACCTGAAAGTTTGTATCTAAGGATTGGAAATTCTGGTGAATTTGTGGATAAGGAGTTAGCTGAACGGGCATGGGGTCCTATTATAAGCGCGCTTTGCAGGGCATACGATAAAGCGCCCGATAGATCGTTGCAACGTCGAGTCGCCGAAGCTTTCCATCGGTTCGTTATATTCATATTTATATTCACGTTCGAATTGAATATTTTGAAATGATAATTGATAAGAAATAATAGTGATATGTTAGAAAGAATGAAGTCGCGTTTTTTCTTTATAGTTGCGCTTCTATCAGCGCTCATTATGGGATGAGCAGCGATTTGGATACTCTTATAGTAAGCTTGTGTAAATTCACGGGTCTTGCGACCGGTGGTGAATCCGATCAAGTGGTTTTACAGCTTGGCGGAAGTAACAAGTGTCAGTTAGCTGCGCGTACTCTCTTCAAAATTACTCATATACATGGAGATGCGATAAGAGGCTCGTGGAAAAATATCATCGATTGTTTGCAATCGTTATACAAGGCAAGATTATTGCCGAAAAGTTTGACCGAAGGAGAAGATTTTATCGATTCATCCGGAAGGATATCGTTACTTCGAGAACCAACTACACCGAAACCAGCTCCGGTAGATCAGGGAATATTATCCAGTTTATATTCTTATATAGCTTTGGATACTTCACGGATGTCTCATCCAGCGGAAACAACCGCAAGAAAGAGAGCTACGGAATTTATTGGTAATTGTTATCTCAAACAAATCATCGAGGAAAGTAAGTTCTTGCAAGTTGAATCACTTCGATCTTTTGTCGGTGCTTTGGTATATCCAAACTCTCACGATGAAGATGTATCGGTGTTTCTGTTGGAACTTTTGTTGGAAGTAACTATTCAAAATCGTGATAGAGTAACATGTATTTGGCCGATAGTACAGGGTCATCTAGACGGATTATTGACAATTGCCGCGCGTGAAAATCATCCATACCTTTTGGAACGAGTTGCCGTTGGAATGTTGAGATTAGCTATTAGATTGTTACGGGGAGAAGAATACGCGTGTACCGTTTTGCCGCCTTTGTTACCTTTAACTCATCTTCCTTCCGCTACAAGCACACCGCTCGCGAGGCAGATCGCTTACGGTTTGTTCGAGCTGCTTAAAACGGGCGCGGCTAATATTCATAGCACGGAAGATTGGAAAGTAGTATTCAGTTTGTTGGAGTGTGCAGGTGCTGGAGCACTAATGCCGAAACAATCCAACACCGTATTGGACGAAGCGACCAATTCTAGAACATCGATGTTGGATCCTAGACCGATCAGTCCTATACCAGAATGGGTACTCGTATCTCCAACAGGGACAGAAGCACCGTTGCCTGTTGCCGCTGACACGATTGTATTAGATCGTGATTTACAACCTCACGATCCCGCTGCCCTCGTTAAATGCTGCGAAAGTTTGACATTCCTAGTCAGAGACGTGGCTCATGTAACTCCATTTAACTTCGAATTATGTATACGTTGCGTGAGAACATTTGCCGAAGCAGTTCTTCAATGTACAGGAAAAAGGAATAAAATGCTTAATATTCAGGAGGAAGTTGGTATCGCTGCCACTTATCAACAAAGTCCCATACAATTGTTAGATTTAATGCATACGCTTCATACTAGAATCGCTCAAGTATTTCGATGGTGGGCCGAAGAGGGTAATGCTACGGAAAATGTTTCTTTATGGCTACAGGTGTGGAGACCTTTGTTACAAGGAATTGCAAGATTGTGTTGCGATACTCGTAGACAGGTACGCACAGCAGCCATAACGTACCTTCAAAGTACTCTGCTTGCTCACGATTTGGCACAATTATCGGCGATCGAGTGGTCTCAATGTTTGGAACAAGTTTTGTTCCCTCTGTTGGCTCAATTACTCGGTCCGATAGCCTCCAACGATCCTATCGGTGTGGAAGAGACAAGGGTCAGGGCAGCCATGTTATTATCCAAGGTATTTCTTCATCATTTGAATCCATTGCTGACTCTACCTGGATTTTTACCACTCTGGCTAACAGTATTAAGCTTACTACGTGCTTATATGCACGCGGATAATAGCGAGCTTCTCTTCGAAGCCATACCGGAATCATTGAAAAACATGTTATTGGTTATGTCTTCTGCCAACGTGTTAGCTCCGACATCAAATTTATGGGCCCCGACTTGGAGAACGATAGATGCATTTTTACCCAATCTGAAAGCGGAATTATTTCCAGAACCACCGGTTGTTGTTCCATTACCATGCTCGCCTCAATCGATACAATCGCAACAAAATTCGCAAGTGATCAGTTTGATAGAGCAACGACAGCCCTGTTTCTCGGGATCCTTAGCCTTATCTCAGCCAAAATCTACATCGATCGATAATTCGATTATTAACGATACCGGGGAAAATTGCCGGAATCGAAACGAATCTTATCCACATTCGCAATCCTTCCTACCTACTACGGAATATTCGGTTATAAATCCAAACACAAGATCGATTTCGGTAATTTCGACTTCTGCCGATATCGTTTCATCGTTCGATGAGAGTAAAGAATCGCAACAGGTGATTACTTTGGTCGATCAACAAGTCCCGAATATATCGAGTACGATCGCGGGAGTGTCAACCGCGCAAGAATCTATCGATATTTCTCATTGTAACATTGATCTTCATCGATCTTCATCGGTGATCACTGAATTTAAAGAACAATGTCAAGAGGAAATGCCAGTAATATCGGAGCTATCACCATCGACAATACCAACGAAACTATCGAACGAGGAAAGATCTGATCGATCGTCAAAATCGATTATTATTAATGGAGATGAATCGAAGCAAGTTACAAAAATGAAACTATACGAAGAACAGAGGCAATGTCAACAAACCTTGTTACGATCCGAACAATATTTATCGGATATACAAGGAATGGAACGTACTGGAATATTAAATTCTTCTTCTCACTCGGATGCATATCAGGTAGAAATCAATATCTCGCATTTTACAAAAATGAATTTAATTTATTCTTCTGGTTTTTCTGGAGAAAAAATCAATGACAGTGCGTTATTTTTTCTCCGTCTTCCTATCTATCTGTCTCTGTCTCTCTCTCTCTCTCTCTCTCTCTCTCTCTCTCTCTATCTATCTATCTATCTATCTATCTATCTATCTATCTATCTATCTATCTATCTATCTATCTATCTATCTATCTATCTATCTCTATCTATCTCTCTCTCTCTCTCTTCTTTTGTAATTCTATTTAAACAAATAAAAAATTAAACAAAAATTATAAAAATAGTGAATTTTAATTAATCAATAATTAACGATGTTTCGTTTTATTTATATTCATTCAAAGATTTAAGACAAAAAAAACATTTAATTGTGTTCTTGTAGAAATTGAAAATCAATAAGAATAAATCATTATCATTTTTATATTATAAAGTCATCAGAGTATTTCATTACTATAATATTATATATTATCATAAAAGTATTCAAACATTACGTTTTTTTTTACAAGGAAATTTAAAAATAAATTTTGAAAAATTTAATTTTAATAAAAATTTTTAATTTTAATAAAAATTTATTGTTAATATATACGGAGCAATTTATTTTTCGATGAAAAATCTTAAATGTATGAAATCGATTCTCAAATTTTTATCTATTTTTTTATATATTTTATATTTCAATTTCAATTAAAAATATTTTTTATAATATAATAATAAAATAAAATTTGAGTTAAAATTTGAGTTTTATAGTTTAATATTTTATCATTGATATATTTTTTTATTTTTTTATTTTTTATAATCATTATGAAGTTTTTATTTTTAAAAAATGAAAATAATACTGAAATTTTAATTTTCGGATTGATTTTGTTATCCCTTCAGTGAAACGATATTAATAATACTAATAAAGAAATTGCTCTATATATTATTCCATTATTTCATCATGTTCACAATATTTTGTATCAAAACAGAATTATTTATAATTTTGATGACACAATTTATTACAGTTGAATTTGCATAAAGTATACGAATATTCTTACTATAATTGTATATACATATTTATAGTTATATTTAATAAATAGATATAATAAGACAAATAATAGAATAATAAGTAAAAGAATAATCGAGTATTTTCATCTTTTACAGACAATGACTGTAGATTCCGCAGCGACGACGATGTTTAATTCAGCGGCATATTTTACCGAAGATCCTGCGGCTGATCGTCTATTCGTCGTGACTAATCCTTGACCATTGTACATTCGTTATGAATATTCTATCATTGTTTTTGCGACAAAGAAATTTTTGGGTGAAGTTTTAGCGAAAAAGAATTTACTACGTGTTACAGTAGGTGAACCTTTGGCTTCTTGTATATTTGAAATTATGATATGTATTAATAATAATGTATGATAATTCATTTGATATTATTATTAACACATTATATACGTATATATACATAAATGATTATAATATCTATGATTCGGTATCGTATTTCGTGGAATATCGATTATCTTTATTATAGTTATCATCATCGTTCTCGTCCTTACGAGTATCATTGTATCATCATCGTTAGGTAAGTTAAGTATTTTTATAAAAATTTAATTATTTCTATTGATTTTTATTAATATCGATATATACTTACCTACGATGTATTGAGATACGACAACACGAATTACGATATCGTTAATATAATTATCAAATTGTTCCTAGGCGAACGAGTGGTAAATCGATAATTCTTGCAATTATACAATAATAATATGTGCAGTTTGCAAGATAGAACAGATCGATCGTTTTAATCTTTTTTTATTAATATTTTCTTTTCCGTTTCTTTATCTTTTATGTAAGTATGTATATACATACAAATATGTAAAGTTTGAAATGCATAAGCTCAAGAGAAGAAGCATGTTGGAACATCTTGTAACATACCTGTGATTTTTCGCAATTTTATCATAAATAATTATGCTGTATTATGTACAGTTTATCTCAATTTCAATAATACAAATTTCTGCAAGATTTGTAATCGAAAGTTGGAATCGTTAAAACATTTGACATTTTAACATGTAGACAATGTTGTATCAAAGAAAAACGCGTTAAATAATATTAAAAGCAGCTGTGCTGCTTGAATTTTTAAATATAGAAAACATACACGGTCTCCGTATTTTTTATTTTATAGACTTATAGATGTGTACGCATATAATATTTCGACTCTATGAGACGGAATCAAAAACATCGAAAGAAGGCGCGGCGCGGCGCGGCGCGTTCCAGTCAGGACAAATTTAGAAATGGACAATCTGAAATCCAACGTATATTAATAAGAACGAATAGTCGTTGAACGAAAAATTTTCTATTCTTTCTTCGACGAATTATACGATCGCTCGCATAGTTTTATAGTAAGTAGTCACGTATGGATATATTATATATATATATATATATATTACATTTTGATTACACGCTGATAACAATCGTTACAATGATCTTTACGGAAACATGATTGTTTTAGAATATTTTTTACGAGAGAGTTTTCTGTTCCGTGATCTTCTTTATTCACGAACGATCGATTTTACGCATAATAATCGTTATAATAAATGAAACGAAAGCTTGGATAGAATGTCGTATTTACTTTTATATAATATATATATATTTTATATATATATATATATATTATATATATACATATATATATATATACACGTATGGTTTATCTGTTGTGAATAATTATATAAAAAAATAGATTAATACCATACTATGTGAGATTCGAACGGATATCGATAAGTTATGTTGTAGTAATGTAAAAAATGTAGTAAATTTTCAGGAAAGATTCATCGATCGGTATGAAGATTCATCATTGGTCATGTACGAATTTAAAAGAAGGACGAATACGTACGTTGAATTTATATTTCTGTTTGTTAAAGTTAATCAGTCGTGGAATATTATATAGTATATCGCATTATTGATCTCTTCGACAATAGTAACCAAGAGTTTTACATTTTTGACAGAGATGTTGCGGATGGACCTTACTTTGGTCGGACACATCCAATCCGTCTGGTTTCTCTAATGGTCTCTGAAAACACGTAATAAAATGTAACGAGATTACGTAATTACGCAATCATGTTGGCGTGCAATGAAAATGCGGTAAATTTGTGATTACTTACGTTGCCAGATTGGGACAAACAATTCTAATACGAATTTGATGCAATAACAGATTATTAGCAATCAAAGGTATTTATGTATTTTGATAGTTTTGCATTTCTGAATTTGTTAGAGTTGAAGAAATAATATATATATATATATTTATAATATATATAATATACATATATAATATATATATATATTTTGTTCTCTCTTTTGGTAAAGTTTTTTAACTCGAATAACGTTTGTCGAAAGTATATTTTAACGAGAATAAACTTTTGATAAATGTAAATTTTTACTCACTTGTTTATGAGGATAGACGTTTATATGACATTTAATACATTCCTGGCCCATATTGGCCCAGCTATTACCCGACATCCATTTGCGTTTGCATTTGGGACATTTGTATTCTCCGAAGCATCGTTTTTTTCCTTGATACGGTGTTAAACCCTCACCCTTTGGTCTTGCCTGGAATCGATCGTTATAACATTTATTATTATTATTGATCTTATTTTTATATTTTTAAGTTTTTATTGGCTTTTGGATACTGTATCCACTTTCTCTTTTTTTCTAACGTTCCAAATTAACAATAATTCAATAGTAGTAATAATAGCAATAGCATAGCGTTTTAGGCGCGTATACAAGAAAGACTCGAAATACTGGATGACACATTTCACGAGATATTCACGAACGTTGTTATTCGGATCGGTCTAAAAATAATGCACGTCTATGCAAAGGTAATATCCTCGGTAATTTTCTACTTTAAACTTTATCGACAATGAAAAGAAGATTTTGAAAAGCACACCTGCGGACAATCTTTGATATAATGACCTTTCTTGAAACACAGATGACAGAGATAATTAGGTGGTGGCCTTTTCGTTGGTTTTCTATCTAATAGACCCAATTCTCTGAAACGATCTGCAAGTTCGTTGATATTGTCCGCAAAATTGCCACTTATAGCGCAAGAAGGATCGAGTGTATCACGATGAGAATGAGTTTGTGACGTCGTTGTTGAAAAACCGCTCCAGATTGTCGGAACAAGTTTGTTCTAAAATATATTATAAATCGATAATCGTTCGATTAATTGTCGTTAAAACGTTATTTTATCTTGTTTTTATATTGATAATAAAAGAAAAATCGTACAAATTTTTTAATCGAAAAACAAATATTTTTAGAGAGAGAGAGAGAGAGAGAGAGAGAGAGAGAGAGAGAGAGAGAGAGAGAGATTTGAGAACCTGATCTCGCGGTTGAGCAGAATTTTGATCGGCGATTGCTAGATAGACCCAATTGAGCAAATGGGGCGGATAATGTGGTTGGTGAAGAGGTTTCCGACCTTGGCTACCGAGAGCGTTCATAGATCCAAGGCCGAACTGAGACGATTCCTGTGGTTGCAAATGTTGAATCGCCGGTGTTGGATGGCAAGCGGCCATAATCAGAAATTTACCGTCCTCCCACGTGTTTTTCAAATTTAATCCTCATCTTTTCCATGCAGAAAATGTGATAATTGTTTGTTGGATATATTTGGGAAATGATATTACTATCGCTCATTTTTACACATCGAGTATATTTACGAATCACTGAAATGAAACGAGAAACGTTCTCGATGCACTTATCGACTAACTGACTAACTATTTCGTTTAAAAATACGAATTCACCCAGCAACCGCCAGTTGTTTCTCAAGATTAATTTAAGACCTAAGGCACTGAGATACACGATGATCATTTGATCATTAGATCATTGCAGGATTTGCATGGATTCTTGCTTTTCGTTCTACGATACGCTTTTTTGCCTGCTGCCGAGTAACATGTCAACAAGTAACATGTTTTTTCAGACAATGTATTCGTATGGATGCACATTACAATAATGCAACGTCGAATTGGCAACGTTTCCATTCGAAACTTCACTTCGGACTGTCTTCTGCGTTTCGATATTTTCATGAAATATGTAACATCACGCCATGTATAATTGTTTTACGTGATAGGTTCATTTAATTTTACGTGTTTTTTTTTTCTTTTTTTTTTCGAATTCACCTTTATGCGCGCTTTTATACGCGTTGTCGTAACAAAAAGTTATTCGTTGAACGTTGGAACGTTTGGAAATCTCAAGGTGAAATATTTTTCGTGAAAATGATATCAGATTCCTAGATTATTTTATATTATTTTTTCTTCTTCTTCTTTTCTTTATTATTCTCACGATTAGTTTCACGATTATATCTCTTGAAGAATATCTTGCAAGATTTTCAAATCATTCCTTTTCAATTCATTGAAAAAATATTTATCTTGTTATATGCGAACTTTGACTATCCTTTTATGCATTTTTTTTGTGAATGATGGAGGATGATGGAGATACCGATAACGATGGCGATGATGATGGAGCGGTATTGGTTCCGATCGGGTCGCTCTGTCCTTACGCTTCTTCTTTCGTCTCGAACAGAATGAATTTTATCCGGATGGAAATTAAAAATTGGTCGGCGTTGACAATAAATCAACAACGATACGTGTCGCCGCGCGGTAAGTATCGATGTTAAATGTACGATTTCACAGAAAATGTATTTCCGGAGTCGACAACTGCGTTCGTTCGCGAAGGGTCTGTCTCTAGTCTGAACATCGACAATGTTCCACGATCCGCGTATACGTAAAAACGCATACACATGAATCTAACATCAGCGTTAAAGAGACCCCCGCCATGTGGTGCAGCTATTTCAGTGCTTGCTATCTATCGAACAGCTTGCCACCGAGTACGAGTACGAGTATTGCTCGGACTTTGCCTTCAACATCTTTACTTATGGCAAAGATTCTCGCTTCCAGTTTCAAGCCCAGCGAAACAAGCCCTTCCTGTTGACGATCAACACGGTCAAAATTTCTCCTTCTTATAAATATACCGCTTTTTCAACAGAAATTAATGGAAATTAGGTAAATAGAAAATTTATCCTCGAATTAAAATTTCAATTTCTTCGTTTCTTAATATTAAACGATCAAGATATATTTATCACACATTTTTTTTCTTTGTAGATGAAATTTTCATCAATGTTTAACGTCGATCATCGCATTATTATTTATCTAAATTTTGAATCTTAAACGATGAATTTTAATATTTTCAACCCTATCTACGATTTATGGTATAACTATGTCGTGAAATAGATTTAATTTTCAATAGAATTCGAATCAATAGAATTCGAAATCGTGAACTCGATAACTTGATCAAAATTTTATCGTTGTATCACGTAGGTATTAAATACATATAATTACTTTTCAATCTTCCGTGTAGATAGTCGACAATTAAAATAAATTTTGCGGAATTTATTTTATATATATATATATATAAATATTCTTCCTTGATCTTTGTTTTATCATTTTATTTTTTTTTTATTTATTTCGCTATATTTAACATTATCGTTCGCACATATGTACGAATCATGATCGATTAACCTATCCTTGTTTTTCAGATTGAAGATACTATTTGCTATCGAAGTCGATATCGAAATATATCGAAGGAACATACGGTAAATCGTATGGTAAGTAACGATCCATATGATGTGAGTAAATACATACATATCGCAAAAAAATATGTAGAATAAATTCTAAATCTTTGAAATTTGATAGAAAACGGCTATGTTCCACCGTGGAAAAAAATTATAAAAAAGAAAGAGAAAATCGAAATAAAATTAGAGAAGACGAATTTTTAAGCGTGAGACAGGATGGATAAATACGAGATGATAGAAATCGTAGGAGAGGGAAGTTATGGCATAGTGATGAAATGTAAGCATCGCGAGAGCGGGCAATTTGTAGCCATTAAGAGATTTCTCGAAACCGAGGAAGATTACGAAGTGCGAATAATGGCATTTCGAGAAATCCGAATGTTGAAAGTATGTCATATATATTCCCTTTCTCTCTCTCTCTCTCTCTCTCTCTCTCTCTCTCTTCTCCTTCCTTCCATTTCCTCACATTAGTTGTCCTCTTATGAGAATAAGGAGCATGTTTACAGAAATTACGCCACGATAATCTGGTAAATATGATCGAAGTGTTTCGTCGAAAGAAACGATTTTATCTCGTATTCGAATATTTGGATCATACTTTACTGAACGAATTGGAAAATGTCGGAAAAAACGGTCTAGGTTTGGAAATATCCAAGCGATATATCTATCAAATCCTTCGTGGATTGGACTTTTGTCATAATAGTAACGTAAGTATAATCGAAAAATGTGCAAAAGAAAAAAAAAAAAGAAAAAATATACGAATATATCTGAGCGTAATTGTCGCTTAAGTCTTTCGATTTAAGAGAACGTTTGGAAAAAAGATCGATCTTGGATTCCGATCGATCGTTATTTTTTTCATTTTATCGATAGATAATGCATCGTGATATCAAGCCAGAAAATATCCTTATATCTCCGAACGGTGTGGTGAAGCTTTGCGATTTTGGATTTGCACGTTTTGTAAATAGTCCCAATGAATCTTGCACGGATTACGTGGCGACAAGATGGTATCGTGCCCCGGAATTGTTAGTCGGTGATCCTCGATACGGCAGACCGATAGACATTTGGGCGGTAGGCTGTTTGTACGCGGAAATGATGGTCGGGAATCCTTTGTTTCCTGGTAATAGCGACGTAGATCAGCTCTATCGAATAACCAAAATACTTGGTAATTTTTTTTAACTTATCTTTTTATCTTTATCATGTTAATTATTACGCGCAAAAAAGAAAGAAAGAATGAAAAAAAAAAAAAAAAAACATCATCTGCGTGAAGAAGAAACGTGGAACGCTTAAAAGAATGTGTATCGTTTTAGGAGGACTATGTATGAAGCATCAAAGTTTAATAGATCGTAGCAGACCTGGTCAAATATTGCGGCATGCGAGCGCGGATGAGCTCATAGGACCACCTCAGTCCGGTGTTTTCTCGATTCGTAAATTATTTCCCAAATGGGATATAGTCGCCATCGATTTTTTGGCTCAATGCCTTCGTATGGATCCCGACTTAAGATCAAAATCTTTCATGCTCTTGGAACATCCGTTTTTTATAAAAGATCGATTTGCCGATAAATTTCTTGTAGTTTTGAGAGAAAGTATCGATATAGAATCTTCTATGAATCCTTTATCCAGTAAAATATTGAGTGAAAAAGAGCCGAGTATTTTTACGAATTTGTTCGAAACATCGTCGAAAACTGTTTACCAACATTTTCCCAGGTCTTTATTCTCTGATTAATCACTTTATTTCTGATATTAAATCACTTTATTAGGGATGATTTATCGTCCGATTATTCTATTTTCATTTGTCTTCTCTTTATTTTTTTTTTCCCTTCTCCCCATAGATGGCATATGCATTCTATCGTGAAAGATTTAAAAAACAAAACGAAGTCCGAAGCGATAGATACGATGGAATTACGCCAAACTTCGTCATCGTTGCTGCGCATCGATCCCTCAAAAGATCCCCGAAAAGTTTGTAACATAAATACCATTTCCGTCATACCAAATACAACTTACATTCGTAAAGTAAAGAAGAAGGGAATCGTTATGCATGATTATTAAAAGGCTATATTAGCGCTTTTTTGAACGTTTTACGATTGTTCGAGTATAGATGATAATAAAAGGATAGAAGAGAAAAAAACACGTATTTATTAAGGAAAAGATCTTAAGATAGATACTTTAACTTCGTTTTCGTTTAATATTTGCAAACGATTAATAATGCGAAAATTTGCATTTTTTTCTTTATCGATAAAAATGATAAATCTAGTATATAGTATATCATAGTTGCTTCTCAAATTCTATAATATTACATATATATATATATCCCTTTATATATATGTTTACAATTGAAAAGGAAAAAAATATTCTACATTTTTACGTTACGAGATATAAATACTTATTATATGTTATTAGATTTATATGTATTTAGATTTTATCTTCAAAATATCATGAAAAATTAAAGAAATTATTGATATTTTATTAATAAGAATTATAGTAATAAATATCGCAAGATGTCCATGTAAGTGGGAGATTTTGTATTGAAATTGTATTGTGGTATAAGCTTAAAAGAATCGATAATATAATTTGCAATTACTGATTATTTTATATATTTATGTATTTATTTAATGAAATTTTTAGTTATCTCATGGAAAGTTTTCTCGTGAAAGTGAGAGCAATTTCTTCTTCTGTTCGATCGTATCATATTTATACAACATTATCATACAATATTGTAATCTCTTATCACCGAATAATTTAAAATATTTTTAGTAAGTAAATATGTGATAAAAATGAATCTTTAAATTAATTAACCTGTTTTTTTTTCTGTTACAGGTCGTTTCTAAAGATACATAGAAGATAAAGATACATAAAGATAGATTAAATGGATTTATATTTATTAATTGAAGTTTAAGATAGATATGCATATATATTTAGTGAACAGTATTTGTAAGAATATTTTTTCTATTATCTTAGTTATGATTAGAATATTTTGAAAATTAGACACAATGTATTTTATTATTGTATAAAGATTGAAATTTGTGGATTGTTTAATACTATAATTTCTATAATATAGGTTTAAAAGAAACTCGAAATGTAATAAAGATACGGAGAAAAAGAATTCGGGCAAAAGATCCCTTTTCCAAAAAACAATTTTCCTTTAATCACAAGGACAGATTTCATGATTTCATATAAATATATATATAGAAATAGATAGACAGATTTCATATTCTGTTTATAATTGAAGATAATAGAAGCGATTGGTAATATATTCGAATAAATTTAATTTATAAAGAAAATAATATACAGATACTTTTTTAGAGTCTTCTAAATGTAAAATATTATGTCGTTTTTCTTTTTTGTTTCAGACAAAAAGAAAAAATAAGAAAAATGTGAAAGAATCGACAATATTCTTCGACGAGTTTTTCCGATCAATTGCCATTTATATAATATTAATTATAAAGTTTCATAATCGATTTCATTTTTCACGAATAAACATTTCGTGTTATAAAAATAGGAAAAAACTTTTTTAAACTTGAATTAATTTGATAAAAAAGAGTAAGATTTTAAATTAAGAAAGAATTTAAAAATAAAAGAAATGAAAACAACAAAGAAACGTAAATTTGTAATCAAAACAAAAATTTCAATGGAGAATAGAGAATAAGAAATTTTAAGACATTTTAAAAATTGTTTGTTTTATAAATAAATATTTGTTACTTAAATAAATAAAAAAACGAATAAAACATTAAATATGCGTAATATTTTCAGAATTTTACGTGATTTCTAGGAATAATTCTGAAAAATAAATCTTTTTTTTTTGCCTTTTTTCCAAACAAATTCTCTAGCTTTCCTAGCTTTTAAATGTATTTTTACAACATTTATAATATTTATTTCATTTTGGAACATTCGTTCTATTATATTATTTATTTACTTACTTCCGTATTTCCGTATTTATATACATATTTCTCGTACGTTAAACAAGATTCGAAAAAAAATTTCTCGGATTAACGCCATCTCGCGTTTGGATGTTGAAACCTTTATTTCACTATTTATAAAGCAGAATGTGTAAGGAGGTATTCGTGACGTTAGAAACAAAAAGACAACATTGCAAGATAAGGATGGAGATATTGGTAGCTTTGATTTTGCGTTCTTGATATTTTTTAGCACTTCGAAAACTCGACATTAAAAATTAATTAATTTACAAGTTTTTTTATTAATAATAATATTTGTGCATCTTTAGATTCGCATTTAGAATTAAAAATCTTCTCGTGTCGAATTTTTTTTTAACACGAAATTTTTTTGTTTATTAATAATTAATATAGAAAATTTCTCTCAAATCTTCTACATTCCATAATCGAATGATAAACGATTAGATTGATTCGTTCGAATAACAACAATAAAATTATTAATTATGCGAAAGAAGTAATGATTAAAGAAGAATCATAATTTTCATAACATAAAATTTTTATAATTTTTATATTTTCCGTATTTAAAAATGATTTCCATAATAATAATAATATTAATAATAATAATAATAATAAATAAATAGAAAATGTATTGCGCGAAAAACGTTCGAACGTTAGGATACAAGATAGATTCTTTAAACGCGATTTGTTTTCATCTGTTTTATTTATTTGTCTCTCGTGGATACAGAATGGTATTTTTGGTATAGAATTTTAATTACAATATTCGACATTATTTTATAAAAGTAAATACAATTGTATATCGTTAACAATAATAATGCGCGTAAATCGATTAACACACGCTTCAAACGTTAGCTAAAGCATTCACGTTCACCGTAGGAATAATTATAGCTAATACGTTCACTTATATTTAATACAATATTAATTACAAAGGAAGCTGATCGCGAATGTTTCGAGATTTATGTACAAGATAATAGAAGCAGAGATCTTAATTCGAGACAAAGTATTTAAGTATGTTATGTATATGCCTGTCACGAAACGATTCGCGATCGCACGAACGAGATTTGCACGCTTCTCCGTTTTTTCATTCTCGATCGCTATCCCAGTTATATATATGTATATAACATAGATATTCAAAACCGGATCATTATTATTATACGCGAAATTATCGGTTTAGAATTGTAATCTAATATTGGTTTATTATTTATCACTAAAAGGGAAACAGAGAAAGATTTGGAAAGACATGCAAGTATATAGGCAAATGTGCAAATAGACACAAGCGATCGGACGGACAGATGGACAAATGTACAAAGAGAAAGAAAGAGAGAGAGGGTGAGAAGAGAAGAGGAGAGGAGAAGAGAGAGAGAGAGAGAGAGAGAGAGAGAGAGAGAGATGGAATTTTTGCAATAATTTGCAAATAAATAAGAGTATAAATGAATGATATAAAAAAAAAATTAACGAGTAAGTACGAAAAAGTACGTATTTGACGCGGCAAATTCGAAGAATAGCGTAGCCGTTTTCTCTGTCCTTTTGTTCGTTATCGATGCGATGGTAGATAGATTTTGCGCAAATGAGTATGTAAATACTTTACATATGTCGATCAATCGATCCTAAAGACGATGACGAAGGATTAAACGAATGAAATCGAATTAAAGATAAAGATATTAAATCGAAAAAAGATAGAGGGAGGGGCGGGGGATAGACGAGGCTGGTTAATCACGAGTAATAAATAGGTATTGCATTTGGACGGGTTTCTTCCGATCGAACCGCTGTTAAACGCGATCGAAGCGCGATTAAGCGACGATACGAATATCGTATACATGGACGTTCGGTGATTCGATTTGATTCGATTTTTGATTGAAAAGGAAACAACGGACGATCGTTACAACGATCGTTTAGCGATCGATTAACTTTTCAAAAACGTGGACATGAATGAGAACATCGTAATCGTGTGGTAATTTTAATCAACGTGATCCTCTTTTTATAATTTTCCACCATTTTTCTCTATTTATAATATATGGTACGAGAAAAATTTAAAACGACAGACCGCGATCGAGTAGTAAGAGTAACGAAATCGATAGGCGGTAAAGTTTTCAATTTCTTTTCTCTTCTCTCATCTTTGCTTACATTTCATTGCTTACATGCAAAACATTCGTCGTTGTATTCTTTCCTAATTTTTTTATTGCAATTGTCAATTGTGCTGTTGTGTTTTTGTCGCTATTGCTTCTCGTTTTTTTCTTTTTTCCTTTCATTTCCTTCTATTCTCCCCTATTCTATCTATCTATCTATCGATCCTTTTCCCTTCTTTTTTCTCGTCTTTCTCACGTTTCTCATTTCTTCATTTTACATCTATCCATATCGATATGCAACTACTTTATTATGAAACGATTGGAAAAAAACGTGAACCCGATCGGTTATCTGTTACAGATCCGAAATATAATTGCAAAAAACACGCGTTTAAATGCATACATTATACATAATAAGATGATATCGCATTATAGGACGATAAACGAATCGAACGGAAATTGAGGAAAACGTTGATTCCTCTCGTCTCTCTGTCCAAGTATGCGAGTGCAATATACCACGTGTTGCTCTCACGGTACGAAGAAATCGTGATAAGGCACTTTGATTCTGCATCGCAAATTCTACATATATATTTAGGGAATCGATCATCGATCAAATTCGATCGCGGCTTACGAAAAAACAAAAAGGAAAATACCGTGTTTTTCGATCGATTAAATATACGTGTGTGTATGTGTGAGTACGTGTGTGCGTGTGTGCGTGTGTGGTGCGTGCGCGTATGTGTTTGTGTGTATATGTGTACTTGTATATCGGTTGAATGAAATTGCAAGCGTGCTGTTACTTTTTTTTTTTAAATCCTTTCCTGATCTTTTCATAAAAAAAATTAAGAAATCGAACGAATTATTTATCCCATTTTGAAACAATACGAAAAAGTAATAATTAGTAAATTTTGTTTTTATTTATACACGAAACATATATAACAATATAACGCGATCTATTAGCGTTAAATACATTGGCGATTGCGATTGCGCAATGTAACGAATCTTGATGGATTATATTCTACGTTGTTTCATAATTGAGATAAATAAAATACGATATTTCGGTATATACCGCATAAAAAAATTGAATGAAGTCGTCAAACAATTTTTTTCAGTCTTTCATTTGCCCCAAACCCAAAACTATATAATTTCACAAAATACCCGAGATAATAATTTCAATCATTGTTGCAAAATGTACGTATGATTGACAATACGTTTGTTTTTCAAACTATATCGATCGCATACATATTTTGCGCTCCATCTTATAATTTGACAACGATTAATTAAACTCTCGATCGATCTTTGCTATACACACTTTTCCAACTTTTGTTTCGATCAACGATCGCGTTCACGTATTATAGAAAATCAAACTATCGAATTTTGCCAAATCTTTCTCATTCTTCTATCTTTTTCTCCTTATATCATTATTTGTGAATCGTTATAATTTCTCATATATTCTTCTTTTCTTTACATCTTTTTTCTTTCTCTCATATGCGTACGTATGCTCTCTCTCTCTCTCTCTCTCTCTCTCTCTCTCTCTCTCTCTCTCTCTCTCTTACTCCTCTCTTCCACCCATCCACCCACCCACACACACACGCACACACACGAACTTATACATTCATTAATTCTCGTTCTCTTTCCGTCTTTGTTTTTTCTTCCTCTCATTTAATTTGCGCGTACACTTTCTTTCTTCCCTCGACTTTTTCCCGCGCTGTCTCTCCGTTATAATTGCAATTTTTAAATTAATGAATTTTACGACTTCATATATATACGTATGCGTATATATATATGTATATATACACACATGTGCTGAGTGCAAGCGATATTTTGCAAAGATAAAAAACTCGCTTACAGCGAGATAAATGATGGTTATAATATGTTTACAAGTCGTGAATTCATGTATTATCTATTATAAGCGATCTATGTATGTATATAAATAGGAACGATAAGAGGTATCATTGTTTTAGAACATTATCGGAAAATTCAAGGACACTGATTGAGATGACTGACCGAGTAAAAAGTGAATAATAGATTTTTCATTTTCATTTTCACGTCACCGACACAATATTTTGCTCTTGTCTTTCTTCGTTATGAATTTTTTATTTTTTTCCCCCCCCTTAAAAAATCTTAATCTAGGAGGGATAGACTTAATTGTTTTCGGTAAAAGTTTTCGACCCGAACATATTTCTTACACGCTATTATTATTAATATTTTTATCTTAATCGTTATTATCATTTGATCGTAATCTCTCGTCTCTTTTTTTTTTATCATTACTTTCACGTCCTTATTTTTACTTGTACAATTATACTTATTATTATTATTATTATAATATTCATTATCGATATCATTATAATTAGCTTTACAATTAGTCAATGTATGAATGATAAAAATAGTAACAAAAGCAGCAATGGCAATAGCTGTAGCAGCGATCGAAATAGTATATTAATTAATAATAGCAATACTATAATAATTATAGTAATAATAATAATAATAATAATAGAAGTAAAAGTAGTAGTAGTAGCAATAATAATAATAATAGTATTAATAGCGATGGTGGTAATCGTAATAATATTATTAATGTCAATAGCAGTAATAATAGAAGTAACAGTAGCATTAAATAGTATATCAATAATAAGAACAGAAATAATTATTATAACAATAATTATAACAGTAGAAACTATTATTATTTCGACTGTTGTAATCATCATTATCATCATCTTCATCATCATCATCATCATTATCATCTTCATTATCATCATTATCATCATCATCATTATTAATATTATTATTATTATAATTAATATCATAATTATTATTATTACGATTATTATCATTATCATTATCATCATTATTATTGTTATTGATATTGTTATATATACAATTATTATTATTGTGATTATCATTATCATTATCGATATCAATATCAGTATCATTATCATTATTATTATTATTATTAATTATCATTATTATTATCATTATCATTATCATTATCAGTATTATTGTTGTTGTTAATTACTAATTATTATTATTACTATCACTATTATTGTTATTATAATTATTGTTATTGTTGTTTTTCTTCTTCTTTTTCTTCTTCTTCTTCTTCTTCTTCTTCTTATTATTATTATTCATATTATTATTATTACTAATATTATTATTATTGTTATTATTATTATTATTATTGTTATTATTATTACTATTTTTATTATTATTATTGTTATTATTATTATTACTATTATTATTATTATTGTTGTTGTTATTGTTGTTATTATTATTATCATCATCATCATCATCATCGGTATTTTTATATTGTACTTAGATATTATCATTAGTATTGTTATTATCATTTTATATTTTATCGTTAATTAATATTTACATTATTATTGTTATTCTTTGTCACGTTAAAGTAGATGATAAAGACAATCCTTGAGCTTGTTAAAGGCTTTGCGGAGATTCGTACATCAATCTAACATTTCCATCGTCCGTAAAAATATTTTTTTTTAAAGAAAAAATTAAATTTTAAAATAATATAAGAATATGATAATATACGATGATATCGAATACGATAATGTCGATGGAAGGAGTAGTGATGACGATAATAGTAGAAACAACGAAGTAGAAACAACGATGAAAGCATTATAGTGGGATATTAATGATAATGCGATTACTAGTAGTATAATAATATTGGTAAGAATATAATATAATCGTACTAATAGGAGTAATAATAATAGAAATGACGATAGTACTGATTATAATGGTAAAAGTATTATTTTTAATATCACTGACAGTAGAAACAATAGTAACATTTACGTAGTAGTGGATTGCGACGATGATGGAAGTTCACGCGTAGTGATTTCATTAATATTAATGATAATGGTGTGAATATGAAAACGATCGCGATGATACGAAGAAATATCAATGGCAGGAAAATAGCCGATATCTATTAGAAACGGCAATGATAATAATGACGAAAATGACAATAATAATAATAATAATAATGGCATTGGCGTAGATGATAATATTAATAATAGTTACAAGTAGTAAGAATAACGGTGACGATACAGCAATAACGAAAAACAGCGATAATAATGATTCTTTCGATAGAAATAATGATAAATAGAAATAATGGTATTTAGTTGAAATGATTAACGTTTAAAAAGAAAAGAAGAAGAAGAAGAAGAAGAAGAAGAAAAAAAAGAGTTACGTAAGGAATAAATAATTGTTAAAATAATTTTTAAGTCGAAGAGAAAACGAAGGGAAAAAGTAAAATATTCGTGATCGATATTGGAAATATGCTCGCTTAAAGTTGCTTTAAATCTTATTATTTTGGACGCAAATTTTTTTTTTTTTTACTTTCTTTTTTTCCGCTTTTATTATAATCAGGCAATCTGCAAAATGGAGAAATATTTTGTTCTTCTTTCGTTCCTTTCTTCTTTTTCGACGGATATATCCGCATGTTCACACACACACATACGCACGCACGCACACGCATACACACGCGCACACACACACCTCTCTCTCTCTCTCTCTCTCTCTCTCTCTCTCTCTCTAGGCTATGTTCTTGGTATATTTCTTCCGCATTTCTCATGAAAAATATCGTTATACATTTTAACTGAATTATCGGTTTGATTTCCGAAACAAGCAGGTATACATCTTCACCGTGTGAAATTGTTTTAAACGAGCAGACGATATTTTACATTTATCGTTAAATTAATTGATCGATTAATTATTTCCCGTTTGAAAACTTTGTTCGAATTATTCTCTCGTGCATATCGTACATAGGATATTGCTCGCGTAATGCTAAATCTCATTCTTTCATTCTTTTCTTCTTCTATTTTTTCCATTATGCAATGTCTTTAATTATTAAAAATTTTAATGCGAATATTTTTATGGTATATTTTTTTTATATTGCTTTGTATGTATGTATGTGTATATGTATGTGTGTATGCGTGTATGCGTGTGTGTATGCGCGCGCGCGTTTCATTTTTCTTCCCTTACTTCTCGTTTCTTTCCCTCCCTCTCCTCTTCCTCTTTACAATTTCTTTCCCCTTTTCATCTTCTTTCTTTCCCTAAGAGTCGTTCGTTCGTTTAAATATTTAAGCTTTTATCATTAAATTAGTGCATAGACTTTTAAGTTAAGTAGATGCAAAGATACATATTTTAATAAGGCCCAGTAAGGCTACGTGGGTCGATTTACTTATCCCACGAATAATTCAATATACATATACATCTTTCTCGTTAAAAGTTAAAAGTTATCGCGTGTAATTAACTTTTAGCTTCTTTCGTTATATCGTTTAGATGAATTTCATTCGACTTTTAATAGGTAGATAAAGTATATATATATGTATATATATATATACTGTCGAAAAAAAGTGACATTTTTTGATCGCAAAATTTCTTATTTCTTTCGAGAATCTATTCGAGATAAATTTAATAAAGGGGGAAAAGTATGAACCAACGATTGCTAGCTTACCTATGAAAGAAAAAACGTTGTTCCATTGTTCGAGGCCTTGTTTCGGGGACTCGATCGATTATAGTTTCTTTTATTGTCATTTGTTTTTATCGTTCGTCATATCTTTTATCGCAAAGAATGCAAAATTCGAGATCTCCTTCCATTGTTGTACGATGAGAAAAGAGGCTCGTGATTTCGCGTACAATTGCCAATTGCGATACGACTATTACATCTATGTACATTTTATTCGAACGTGTAATTATTATTATCCGTACGTTCAGTTCTGCATCCTCCTCTGTGAAACGATTATCGAAGAAATGCGATTTTCGAATTTTTTCTTGCCGGATAGGAACACGAGAATGTAGCGTACATGTTATGAAAGATGCGAAGAAAATTCTTTAGAACAATTTTCGTTTTCGTAAACCGAATATAACGTTACGTGTATATATATATATATATTTTTTTTTTTTCCCTTTTTTCTATTATTTAATAGTTAATCGCCTAGACATGTGCGTGTTACAAACGTACATAACGCGCGCGTAAAACTCGCGTGCAAATTTTCTATAATACCCTCTTTGTGATTGGCAGATTGAAAATTTGATAAGAAATATTGGAACTTTATAAAGTTATTTTATAACTTTGAGTTATTTTATCGAGTTATTTTATAACAGGTATTTGTCACGTTTTCAACGATTCTTTCGTTCTATCGGTAACGTTACACGGAATTTAATATTATCGATTAAAGTTAAATTCGATAAATAAGAATTATCGTTTTTTTTTCTTTTTCTTTTTCTTTTTTCGCTTTTTTAAATCTGTTTGAACTTTTGAGAACGCCCACCCCGTCCTATCTATTATCCCAAACCCTCCCCAAATCCCTAATATAACGCGTCAAATATTTTTTTCTTTTTTTCATTCTCCTTTCTTTTACCGTTTCTCACCTCTTACCCCTGTGTACGTATCTATATTTATATACACATATCTATATATATGTATATACAAATGTAGATACATACGTATATACGTATATATATATATATATATTTATATATATATATATATATTTGAATATATATATATTTAAATATATTATATATATATATTTAAATCTATATCGCGTATTATCCATGCATTTTACAATATAATATTTTTTTCTTTTTTTTTTTTTTTACCTTTTTCAATTTAAATCGTTTTACCGATACCTTTCAAACCGGTTTCAATGATACTTTCTAACGTATTATACTTTCGCATATAAAACAAGGCAATCAGATTGAGTTTTATAGTTTACACTTAAATTTTACGCTTTTCGTATTTAAATATTTATACTCGGCTGAATCACCTCGTGTGTCTGTATATATGTGTATATAATATACATATGTAATACATAAATCGTAAATATGGGATCACTTTCGTTACTTTCATCAGTTTCTTCCTTCATTTCTCGTTCTTTTTCTCTTTATTCCTTTTTTTTTTTTTTTTTTTTTTTTTTTTTTTATCATATCTTATACCTTCTTATAAAGGATCAAAGGCTCTTGGTAAGAAGTTTGTTATTCAATTCAATCCGAACGTAAGTATAATCCTCGTAGCTTCTTACCACGAGCACCTTGAATTAATTTTCAACCATCGTTAGAAACAATACGAAACGAATCGGAACATTTTTTTTTTTTCTTTTTTTTAGCGATAATCGTCTCTCGAGACGATCGGAAATCTTATTTCCGATCGATTTATGGTCGTTCGTTCGCACCGTTCTCGCGTTTTTACTTTACTTTCACGCTTTTACTCATCCATCTATATATAAGTACTTACACTCGCGCGCACAAACAAACGAACGAACGTACGAACGAACGAACGAACGAACGAACGAACGAACGAACGAACAAGCACGCACATACGCACATTTATCTTTTATTTATTATTATCATAATATCTTCCTTTTTGGAGATGGATACTTTATAGATTTTAAACGGCGCGAACGATTTATCTTATTAACGAAACTAAGCCAAGTAGTACTAAGTTAGAAAACATGGAGGTCGACGAAGGTAAGGTAAGCCGAATCGTGGCTCCTTTTTACCTTTTTTTTTTTTCCTTTTTTTCTCGATATCTTTGCTCGTTACTCTTCGATAAATATCCGATGGATCGGGAATGCGAACGATCGTCGGTTCGTCTAGCCGTTCATCTAAAACCGATAATTCGTTCCGCTTTGCCACCGATCGGGAATAAGAACGCGTCGATTCTTATCTATTATCGAGTATCGAGCATCGAGTTACTTGGAACAGTCGAGTTCCGACAAGACAAAGTAAGTACGCACAGAACGCTACGTATACCACGTCATACCACGACGATGGTAACGATAAACGCGGTCATCGATGGGGGATAGACGATTTTCGGGGGAGCGCGTTCATCGATTATATAAAGGTTTTTTTTATAGAAGATTTGATTGACCGGTGGAACCGTTCGTAAGGCAAGAGGAGGACGGAAGGAAGGAAGGAAGGAAGGAAGAAAGGAAGAAAGGAAGAAAGAAAGGAAGGAAGGAAGGAAGGAAGGAAAAGAAAGCTAGACGTTTTTAAGGACAACCGCATTCGTCGACCACCATCTTGGGTAAATCTCTTTTGATGATGTTGGAATCAGGACCATAGTAGATCAACGACATCGGGGAAAACTTGAGAGGAGCGCAACAAGGCTGCATACCGGCCAGTCGATCCATCTTCCTGTATTCCTCGATCACGTGGGTGTAGTAATTGAGGAAAGTGTCCGGTGTTCTGTGGCCAGCCGCGCAATCTCCCCTGCAGTAATTCGCGTAATACCTATGCATAATCGAATAATTATCGGATTATTCTCCGTGTTGTCGCAAAGTCGAAGGAAAGAAGGATTCGAGGAGAGGAGAGGAGAGAGAGAGAAAGAGAGAGAGATAGAGAGAGAGAGAGAGAGAGAGGAGGAGGAGGAGAAGATGGTAACTGGCGTGCAAACTGGCGTGCAAATTGACATGTGCGTGCTTCACCGCGCGAAGAACGGTTCGTTAAGCTTGGGACAATTCCGTTTGCGATAATTGGTGGTAAGCGAGGAGGGTTTAGGTTTTTTTTCCGTTACACTTGGAAGCGACACTTGGATTTCACTCGGGATACCGTAGGAATGAGCGGAGCGCGTCACGCTCTACACCCGCGCGAAAGCATGGTGCGGGATATCGGGAAATTTGTCCACGGAATTTCTCTCGTCTTCTTACCCTTGCGGTGCGATTATCCAATCGTCCCAACCGAGTTGAGAAAAGTTGACGTAGAATCTTTGCTTGCAGCATTGGCCCTTTATAGCGCCGCTACACTCGATCGCCCGCCTTCTAACCCGTTTCACAGCCGCTGGATCCGTACGCACGACGAGGAAAGGTCTGTCCGGATCTTGAGTACCTGGAAAACGTAGTGTTCATCGCTCGTGTCGACGAATCGTGTCGGCCGAGATTCAATGAGAGCAATGGTGTATACCTTTGGCGTTTAAAGATGGCGATTCGATCACGCGCGGGGAGTGCCCGTCAAATGTAGATACGTAGACGTGCGAGCCACATCCGGTACAATCGACGAGCAACGTCAATTTGTCCCTCGCTGTGTCCCGATTCGCGGTCGTGTACCAACTGTTCACAACTTTGGTAACGTCGAATTTCAGCCAACCCAATTGTCCGACGTTCACTCCGAGGGACGTGACCATTTCCAGGTATTGGCCAAGTTCCTGTGAAATTTCACCACGATTCATCAACATTTCGCGTTTCTCGCGAAAAAAGCGAAACGACCTTTGGAATCTCCTCCCCCTCCCCCTCCTCTTACTTCTCTCCATCGCCTATCCTAGATTGGTGTTACGAGAAGCTCCCCTGAATCGGCTGAAACCTGACAACCGTACAACCTACCGGTAAGTAATATTGGACGAAAGATCGGTAAAACGACTTAAGATCGCGATGCGTTTATAATGCGATTAAATTCATACGGAGTCGGGCGAAAGTGTTCTTCTCCTATTATTCCGTTATTATCTGTTACATGTGCATACGATATATATATATATATATATATATAATTATATATAATTATTTGCGAAAAAAGAAAATGTAAACTTACCTTTCCACGCAAATGCGTCGTATTGCCGCAACGTACTCTGAACACCCACAGAGTAATATTTCTCTGATTAGTTTGACTCTGTCGATTGCGTTGATAATGATGACCGTGCCTGAATTCGACTCTCGTCCAAAGCGTTGCTCTCTTGATCCTGAGCGGTTCCAAGGCGGGCTCTCCGCTCGACATCGGGAATTCTAGTAACGGTTGTCCATTCAGCGTGCGTCCTACGAACAACAAGCATATTTCTCTCGTCAAAAGAGAACATCCGCCAACGATCGTCTCTATATCGTCTCCCTATTATTATCTACTTTTTCATCTTTCTCTCCTTTTCTACTTTTCTCATACCGTATATAATCTTCGCCTTTGAAACATCTTTCATCGAACGTTCGAACGTATAATTTTCGTCGTTTTCGCGCTTCGAAATGAGTTTTTTTCCTCCAAAGAACGATCTAACGTTTATCTAATAAATTATCTAATAATAAAAAATTATCTAATAAAAAAAAGGAAAAAATAAAAAAAGAACAGAGAAAAAATGGTACATAGATGAGATGAGAAAGGGAGAGAGAGAGAGAGATGCAACGCGGCGCGGCGTCTCGCAAAGCTCGTAACGATACCGAGGACAATGTGTTGGTTGGAGACACAGGGATTCGCGTAGACACGGGAAATTACGACGATGAAATAGAAGAGGAGTTGTTGGTGTAGAAACGTAACAAGAGATACATCGAAGCTATCGAGTAATACACGCGTAGAGGAGAACACGAACGAGTTAACGCACACGGATCTCTAAATATCCGTATCGATGTGTGCGCATACTGTGAAAGCAACGTGGCTTCATCCCTTAACGGTTTAGTGAGTCACGGATCGAGAGCCGTTGGAGAGACGAGGATAAGCACGGGGTGTCTGCCACCCGTCTGCCTTCCTCCTTCCATTCCCCGCAACCTCCCTCTTTCGCCACTTTATCCCTTTCATTTCGTTCCTTTTCCATCTTTCTCTTTCTCTCTCTCTCTCTTTCTCTCTCTCTCCTTCCCCTTCCTCCCTCTCTTTTTCTCTCTCTTTCTCTCTCTCTTTCCCACTTTTCTTTGCTTTCCTACCCTTGCGTACGCAGCCTGTAGGCACCGACATCGACACCGACACCGACACCGACACCGACACCGGCACCGACACCGACACCGACACCGATACCGACACCAACATCGACGCCGACGCCGACGCCGACACCGACACCGATATCGTCGCTCAAACCAACAACGACATAGACACAATCGGAGACTCCCCTACTGGAATCAACGACATCCACACCCTCGATGCTACCCCGACGTCTAAGAGCGTCGTGACGCCAACCAAGGAGATATTCAACCTACCGATCTCTTGGCTCTACTCGTTTAACCTTTCGAGTATGGACCAACCGATATACGCGCAAACACGCACGCACGCACGTATCCGCTATTTCGATTCGCTCTGAAATTCCTCCCTATTTTTTTCTTTCTTTCTTTCTTTCTTTCTTTCTTTCTGGATCAACATTCATCAATTTTTATCCGATTTTATCTTCTTCCTAATTTTTAACTTATTAGATTAGATCTGTTTTCTCATTAAAGAGATCTTTGATCTCGTGGATTCTTATTTCTACAGATTCCTCTAACATCTACAGATGGAGAGAGCAATTCTCTTTTCGATTTCGAAGACAAATCAAAAAATATCTAACGTGAATCGTAAACGAAATATTCAAATATTCCGATAGATTCATCTTTCTATCGATTTTATTGAGATTCCCCTGTCCGAACTTATCGGAATAATTTCATTTCGTAATCGTATTTTGATTCGAGAAAATATACGTTGAAAATGGACAACGATCGTTGGAAGCAGCTAGTTTTCAGCCAATTTTCGATTCGATTCTATCTACGCCATTTCTAAATCGTAAGGGGGAAGAAAGAATCCTAGAAGAATCCTATTCAAAGGATTTCGATGAGTCGTCTCTCTCTCTCTTATCCGCAGAAGAAAATACATCTATATATATATATATTAGAGGTATTTGCTCTATACAAACAGATATCTCGATATTCGATATTTCCTTTTCTCTTTCCCCAATTGTAACCGGATGATGACGCGAAAGGAAATATTTCACGCGTTGTGGGAATAAGGAGAAGGTAGGAGAAGGTAGGAGAAGGTACGGATAATAGGAAAAATGGTTGGAAATATCAGGATATTCGTAAGAGCGTAGCGGCGGTCGCGACACAAGCGATGAATCGAGAGGGGCGTTGTACGACTTTGGTCCGGCCTCGCTCGAGTTTCGAGAGCATCGTGTGTCGCACTTTTCGAGGTCGGTGCATCGGGTACTTTTGCCGCTGCGCCGCAATGCGACACACCACTCAATCTACATTCCCATTTTCTCGCTTTAACAAAGATTTCGCATCTTTCGCGATTGTTAATCATCCATCCGGTCGATGATTCCACCTCGAGATATTCCACTCCCAGCCGATAAAGCTTTTCGTCCAAAATTTTACGTACGTGCATCGTAATTCGTAACTTCGATCCGATCGAGTTGCGAGTTTTACGCATCGATCGAACTTTCGAATGGAACGATCGTCATTTATCGATCGGTCGAATCGACGAAATCGTTTAACCGCGTAGTACGTGGACCTAGTTGATAAGATTCGTCCAGGAGATGAGATTTAACAGTATTAAATACGCTTTAAATGCGTTTCAAGTTTTAGTCTCTCGTCTCGAAAGGAGCGTATGTATGGTGGGAGAGAAATGGAACAGCGAATACGAACTTTCTCGATCTTGGATCTATTTATCGCATCGTTTTTCCACTCTTGCAAGTATGCTGCTTTGAATCTCGTACGATAGAGCATCGTACGAGAGAAAGATTCGTTAATTGTTGGGAAAAAAAAAAAATATCTCGAGAGAAGATATTATCCTTTGATTTCTCGAGTTCTTTTTTCTTCTATTCCGTACCGCGATTGCTCGTAGATGAAATAAATTAGCGCGAGTCGTCTCCTAAAAAAATACGTTCGTAAATTTGATGCGACCGAAGAAAAGAGAAGTCTCTCTCTTCGTCGTCGAGTCGTAACGGCGAAGTGGGAAACGAAGATCGAAAAAAGGACAGAAGGGCAGAAGGAAAGGAATAGCACAGGAAAAAAGAAAAAGAAAGAAATGAAAGAATGTTGAGATATTAATTTCCAACTTTTCTCTTCTCTTTTCTCTTCGTTGAAAATTTCACGTTCGAGACGAATCCCATAAGAGAGAAATATTTTGAAGGATTTCACTCGGAAACTGAGTTTCTTCGATCGAATCGAAATTAAGATTGGATAAATGTTTCAACACGCGAACGCGAGTATATGTATAAAGATGGATCGTACGCGGTGGTGAAAAGGAAGTGGGATGGAGTGAGATAGGGGAGGGAGTAATTCTAGGAGGTTCGCGTGAAAACGATCGAGTATCGACACGCGTAAAACCCGTTTAAAGTTATTAGGCGAATGGGGGATAAGAGAGAGATGCGAGATGGAAAGAAAGGAAGGAAGGAAGGGAGATGGCACGCACCGCGATTTTCTCGCCACGTTCGTCCACGATCGTAACTCGCGTCGACCCCGGTGCGAATCTAATTACGGAGAACGACGCGATATCGATGCGTTGCTCGATAATATCGCGTTATATCGTCTTATATCTTGCAGAGAATTGATCGTAATACGCGGCCGGTCAAATAAGAGGGTCAGATATAGGCCGGTGGTTGCCGGTAACCCTGATCCAGATCTATCGCCGCCACGTGGTCGCTAGCTCGCGTAGCTACGCTTAGCGTTATCATCGCGGGGAATCGCGACAACAAGATATTTTACAATCACGTGTCGCGAGAAGCGAGATCGATTCGTCCTAGCTTTCCAATCTTTCTGCCATTGTCACGACCGCGAAAGATCGGGGTTTGTAAGATCGGAGAGAGGGGGAGGATACGTAGGTTGGATACGTCGAAAGACGAGGCCACGTTATCGTCCGTGGACCGCGTGTCCGATCGACATCCGCGCGTCCAAAAGGAGATTCTTCGACTTCTTCTTTCAAAATTTTCAACGCGGGATCGCACGTGCATACGTATATACATACGTGTCGCGTACGTTTAATTTAGAAAAATGGAAAGCTTGTCGCTTTGAGTCGTAAAGTTGATCGATTGACTCTGCGGAAAATATGAAACGCATTCGATTGTGGGAAGGGGTTGGCGAGACGGGAGGAGAAGAAGGGTTAGGAGACGGGCGGAGGGATGCGAAGGAGAAGGAGGTAGAGAGAGAGAGAAAGGAGAAGGGCAGAGGGATGAAACGGGGCGTTTCCCAAGCCAAAACATTCCAAGCCTGGTTAACGATTAAACGAATCCTCCGATCCTTTCGTCGAAAGATAATTTTCTCTCGAAGAGAAAACAACAACAAAGTTTGCTGCCCGTTTCTCCCTTTCTCCCTTCTTCGACCGTATCGAAGCAAGATCGTTTCGACCATCCCATGAAATTTGACACGATTCGTTGAACGAATCGACGAAATTATCATTGGGAAATAGGATTGGAATCGAGGCGAAAAACGGAATCTTTCCTCTCCTCTTCGAAGAGAAATTTGAAATTTTGTTTTTTGTTACACGAACGAAAGCATCGCGATATGATGGAATCGTATCGTATCGTGTCGTATCGCGGAGAAAAGATGGGAGAGAGAGAGAGAGAGAGAGAGAGAGAGATAAAGGAAAGAAAATACAAAAGAGGAGGTGAAAAGAGAAGAAAAGAAAGAAGGGTAGATTTGGCGAGGTAAAGGCAGGGGGGAGAAAAGACGAAGTAACACACCCTTGATTTTGTATCCTAGAACGGGGAATAGTGTAGTGCGGCAGGATGAGGAGAGTCAAGAGGGAATAAGGGGGGGTGTGTAGTAGGAGATGTACGAAGAGCGGCGCCCAGCTGGAGCCACGTGCATCGATCTGACTACAGGCGCCAGCCATCCTATCCGTCGGCTCGTTCGTCCATGAGTTCGACCCTGTCCCACTCCAACGCACCGAGAACCGTTCACCATCCCACTTTGAACATCCCGCCAGCCTCCCTGTTCCGACCTTTCTACGCCACCATCACACCCTTCCTTCTTTCTTCTTTCTCCTATCGCTACCTACCCATCTTCTCTTCTCTTCTCTTCTCTTCTCTTCTCTCTTCTTTCCTCCTACGATAATAACAACTATCCACGATACAACTATCCACGATACAGGAAAAATGGATCTTGGTTTCGCGGTGCTCTTAACTCGCGTGCGTCTCGTACCACGTCCGACCAATCTTTCGCCGAAAGTTGAACGAACTCGATCCGCTTTGCTTCGCATAGAGAGAGAGAGAGAGAGAGAGAGAGAGAGAGAGAGAGAGAGAGAGAGAGAGAAGCGATTATCGTTGTTATTATTATTTTCCGTGCGAAGGATAGAACGCGACGATTTCTAAGATAAGAACTACGTCCTCGTCCGCTTGGTATCCTCGATTGTTTCACGAACTCGTACAATTCAGTGGATAATCATCCCCCGGTGCGTGGAAAGAGAGATGGAGGCGCGTCTCGTGGGGGAGGGGAGGGAATAATCTCGATATTTGTCTGGGCCGTGTTAAAAAGGATCTCCGTTTTGTTTGTCACGATTGCCACGCACGAGTAAGCACGATGAATCACGAGTTACGAGTTACGAGTTACGATTCACGAGTCTTGCTTACTGGTCGCCCGAGCTTTCACGGGGAATTGCGTTCCACGGAGTCGTCGCCAAGTTCTCTTTTAGAAAGAGAAGAACCGAGTCGTCGAGCACGTATAATGGCCAACTTGTACGGTAAGAAACGGTTCCGTCTACGACGACGAGATCTTCCCCGACGATGATTAACGTTCGAACGAATAACGGATATATCCCGTCCACGCTATTTTTTTTCTTATTATTATTATTATTATTATTATTATTATTATTATTATTACGTCGATACACGTACGCGCGCCTAACTTATTCATCCCGCCCACTTTTCTCTTTTTCTTTCACGTTTCTCGCGAATTGGAAAACGCGATTATTATCGTTTCTTTTCCTTTTTCTTCTTTTTTTTCTTACGTTACGCGAGAATCGCATTAGCCGTAAATGACAAGGAAAAGGAAAAAGAGAGAAAAAAAAAAAAAAAAAAGAGAAAAAGCGGAGAAAAAGCTGAGAGATTAGAATTTTATCGGGACAGAAAAATTTCCGACTCCGTAAATCGATTTTTAGCTATGCGCAGCAATATCTAAAACTAACGACCGCTAAGGGTCGTCGCTATCGCTACGGGTGTCTTGTCTTTTGTAATTGTTTCAAGGCACCCGTAAGCCATTCTCATTAGCAATATTTATTTATTTATTTTAATAAAATCGGCAAATGTACGTGTGTATACTTTTGACATGCAATAACACATGCACAACTCGCGAGGATATTCGCGAGGTCGCATAACGTCGTAATGCGATCGCTTTTAAATCGAATCGTTCGATAGACGGCAAGGAAAGACGGTCTCGTTACATGCTCGAGAGAAGCGGCTAACTTTGACGATGCATCGGGATTTTATCGAGCGCCGTAAAGCGAAATAATCCGAGAGAACGAGAAAAGGGGAGGGGGAGAGAGAAAGAGAGAGAAAGAGAGAGAGAGAGGGAGGGAGGAAATAAAAGAAGAACGAACGAACGAAGGAACGATCGAACGCGTTTTTTTTCAAGCGACGAAAAGGACGATCGGGCCCGTCGTAAGTAGAGTCGCGCGATCGACCTCGAAAGAAAGAATATCGAAAAGAAGGCTGATCTCGCGTATCTTCGTAAAGAGAAGATACGAGGTTGAGATGGAAAAATCAATCGAATCTATCTCCATCTCCACGGATTGAAATTGATAGAAAAAGTATTGGCTCTCTACGCTCCGATCGAATGGATATAATACAGACATATTCGGTTGAACCGATTAAGCAGAACGGAATAATTATTGGCGAAGCGTTGCGTGGAACGTAAGCCAGACATGCGAACCAACGAAACATATAATTTTCTACGCGTGTAAGGCATAAACGATAACGACGCAATTATTTTTCCCTTAAGAACGATGAAAATTTCTAGTTTTCTAGTTTTGTACGCGATCAAAATCGTCAAAATTAAGTAATCTTTGATCCGAGTAACGTGGAAAGAAATAGATAGAAATTACGTAGGATGGCGATATTCGTACGCCTTGATGGCTAGGAAAATTATAAGATCTCGAAATAGTAAGATATAGTAAGAAAATTCGATTTTTGTTCAAAGTTGGCACGTTTTGTTCAAAGCGATCGATTTCGTTTTTCGGATTTCGATGTAACATTCGTCTTTTCCAGTCTTATCGCACCGTCGCATTTTTCTCTTTCAACTCCCGTTTAAACTCTTGAAAACTCTTCTCCCTATGGGGAGAGAATTTAACTCGGCGAAGCGATTTATCGATCTTTTTTCCTGCTTAATTTCGATTCGTCTCCATAACGTTGCAACGTGTTTGTTCCCGTTCACTACATAAATTCCGAGTACCTTTCCATCCGTTTTTCTTCGATCTGGATTGGAGAACTTGTCCTTTCTAAGAAAAAGATGCCGCTGTTTACTCGACATCTTCTCCGCCTCGAACAAGTGAAAGTAGAAAGGAAGGAAGGAAGGATGGAAGGAAGGAAACGGATGTAATGGAACGATTAGAGGAATGCAGAGGAATTCAATCGAGGGACGAATCGATATTTTCACGGACATGCGGTGAAAAGATAGCGCGTTAACGAAATTTTACGAGACGTGGTTATGATTTAACTTTTAGAGAGACGCCCTCCCTCCCTTTTTTTTACGACGCGATTGAATCGCGTCGTACGTATCGCCGTAGAGATTTACGATACGACGCGAAACTCGCTGTTTCATCGACCATTTTCGCGATATTCGCATTCGCGAACAAAATCCCATGACTTAAAAAAAAGAGGATATAGGTCAAAAGTGTCTTCCCACGTTGCTATAGGGATCGATATCGAAGAGGCGATGGTGCTTTATAGTTTCTTTAGTTTCTTCAAAAAGAATGACGTGTTCGCCAGCTATGTATAGTGACGGGAAATATTAACGTTTAAAGTATCACGCATGCGATATATCGTAACGCGTTTATCGAGCAATCAATGTGCGTCGCCTCGGGGCGACGACCACGAATTCGGCTATGGCCGATACGATCCAAACGAGATTGCGACGACGATGTTGATAATCGATGGCTTCCCAACATCCCACTTGTTTCGTTTCGCGTTCGATCGAAAGAGGAGGAGAAGGAGGAGGAGGAGGAGGAGGAGGAGGAGGAGGAGGAGGAGAAAGCGCGAGGGCGGAACTCGAACGACGAAAATCGATGAAAAAAAAAAAAAATCACGTGATCGTGATCGGTGAAGAGGCGAAATATCTCGAGCGGTGGAGGGGGAAAAAAAAAAAAAAAAGAATTAGGGTTAATTAGGGCGACGCGTGACGATCGATCGAGCGAGAGGAAATCGCGAGGGGATCCTTGATCGTTGACCAAGAACTTATCGTAAACTCGAATCGAATCATCCCGCGATGACGACGAACGCGATAGATTCGTCGCGATACGATACGTTGACGAAATCGCTCGCTTCTTTCTACCTTCCGAGTTAAGCTCTATTACCCTTATTGTTAAACTTAGAGTTACTGAACTACGGAACGAACTATAGACGGTCGTGGCGCGACACCCATATCTACGAGGCCACGTGGCTGTACCCGTGTGGCCACGCATGCATGCGATCCAAGGTGTCGGTTCGTGACGTTTTCTGCGTACATTCTCTCTCTCTCTCTCTCTCTCTCTCTCTCTCGCTTATTCCGTGTCCCACGGTAATAACTCTCGTTGTCCTTTCGCTCGCGAATTCATTCGCTCGCGACTCGAGCAACAGGCCGATTCAACCGAGGATTGGATCGAACGAATCGACCCATCGTATACGTACACGCTCCCTTCCCAACGCGTACGCGCGATCGTTTTCTCTCCGGAGAAGAGAGACGTTCGGTTTTCGAGCGTTGATATCGTTATCGCGAGTGGCGCGAAATGCTTTCTTCGAAGCGTTCGTGAAAAAGGGGAAAATATATATGTATATATATATAGATAAAAAAAAATTCGAGTCGAGAGAGATCGGGATGATGGGCGAAAGGGTGAGTAGGTGGGAGGGGGGGTTGGTGCGAGGAAGTTGGGCGCGTGCGCGCTTCGACTCGACCGATCGTGCGACGAATATCGATCCGGATATCGATCGGAAAGGGAGAATACTTACCAGGTTCGGCGAACGTGATGATCTCCGAGGTTCTCGCGTAAAAGTCGTCTATCTCTTCTTCCGGTTCTCGATCCTCGCCTTCTCCCCCCTCGTACTCGCCCCGGTAAGAAGAAGCGATTCTCCCGTTATCCTTGGCAGAATCGTCGTCCACTCGTCGATCGAGATTCCTCGAGTACGAATACTCGTTGCCGCCGTAAAGAAACTCGGTCGAGTAAACGTTCTCGCGACGATCGTTTCTCGTATTGTCGGGCAACGGATAGCGGGAGAATTGCGCTTCGGCCCTGTACAAGGTCTCGAGAGCCAAGTGCCTGGGTACGGTGGCCAAAGTTCTATTCACGTCGGGTCGCGTTCTCAGCCCGAGTTTAGTCAGGATTTGATGCTTGATAGCCTCCAATCTCAAGTCGTCCGGGGTGGGCGCGGCGGTATCCTCCTTTCTTTCCCAACCACCGCCCCCCCTCTCATACGTCTCCCGGCCAATATATCGCTCTTGTCGTTCCTCTTCCTCTCTCTTCCCCTCTTGCTGCCGCTGTTGATGTTGATGTTGATGTTGATGTTGTTGTTGATGTTGTTGTTGTTGTTGATGTTGTTGTTGTTGTTGATGTTGTTGTTGTTGTTGTTGTTGTTGTTGGTGCTGATGCGGACAACCTGGACAAGTTTGATGATGATGATTTTGTCGGGGTTGTACGGGGGAGAAGGTCAGGCAGCACAGCGCCAACCCTATGAGGAAAACGTTGGAAGGTACGAGGGATCCTCTGTATCTGAATAAAACGCGTGTAGAGGGGAGCGAAGAGCGAGAAGATCGGCATGGCGATCGATCGGGGGAATCGACGTGAGCCGTCGTCGAGGTGGAAGAAGATTGTCGTTCGCAGGCACGCCGATCCCTGTACTCGATCTTCTCCCACAATCTCTCGTTTCGATCTGCGTTCGAATCGAGTCCTGCTCCGTACACCGACACCTGGTGCATCTCGGCGGCGAGTCACCTCCTCCACCCCCACCACCACCTCCTCCTCCTTCCCCCGCTACTCCTCCTCCCCTGTTCTCGATCCGCTTCCGCTTCGAGTAGCACCACCTTCCCTTTTCCGGTGGATCGGTGGCGGCGATCGCACTCGCCACCACTACCGCCACCACGCTCGCTTCCGAGCCTAGCGTTGCCCGTGCCGCGGCTCGGCCGACGAGCACCGCGACGAGCACGTAGATGACGGCGAGGAGAGACGGAGGAGGAGCCGATTCGAGGAGGACCGGTTCGACGATCGAGAGACGGGAGGAAGGTGCGCGGCGTCCTTGTCTCGGACCGACGACGGCGTAGGCACGGAGAAGACACGGGAATCGGACGCGTACGACGGGAACCTGTTGTCGAGAGGGAAGTAAAATTGGTATGGAACGGCGACCACGACCACGACCACGACCACGACCACGACCACGACAGGGAAAAGGCATTCTCGCCTAAACCCCCCATTACCAACTACCCGGTGCCGCTGTTTCAGGATCGATCTCACCCGCAAGATGGACCGCCGTAACCGGGTACACCCTGCTACCGTTTTCGGCCATTCGCGTTTCCGTTTTCACCGATTCAACACCACGTTTCTCTCTCTCTCTCTCTCTCTCTCTATCTCCACCACCACGAGTCCCTCCCCCTTCTTCCAACTTTCTCTTCCTCTTTTCTCTCTTCCTTCCTTCCTTCCTTCCTTCCTTCCTTCTTTTCTCCTTTCACCAATTCTTCTTTCTCCTCTCCTCTCTTCTCTCTCTTCTCTTTTTTTTCCTCTCTTTCTCTCTCTCTCTCTCTTTCTTTCTCTTTCTCTCAATTTTTAACCTTATCACCGCGTTATGGTAAAAAAAAAAAAAAAAAAGGAAAACGCTTCCTCCTTTCTCTAAAGTTGGATGGAATTCGATCGGATCGAAGATTTTTCTCGATCTCGATGTCGATATTTACNGGGGATGGAAGGGGAAGAACGAAATCGTCGAATTCTTCCTCGGCACGACGATACGCGTACGCACGATCGTACGTACGTTTCTACGTGGATATAATAATTATCTCCTCGATTCGGCCACTAAGGTCTTCTAGATTTCCTCGGACACTTTCTACGTGTACCTAATATTTCACTACGGCTAAGATCCTCGGAATGGTGCACCATTTAAAAGCTTGAAGGGGGAGCACATGCAACGACGACGACGACGACGACGACAATGACGACGACGACGACGACGACGACGACGGTGATGGACATCTGAACCGGCCTCTTCGATTCTTCGATGAAAAATCTCCTCCTATCTTTCCGGTTCTCTCAGATTTATCCGCTCCTCTCTTCCTCTCCTCCTCCTCCTCCTCCTCCTCCTCTTCCTCCTCCTCCTCCTTTTCCTCCTTCTCTTTTCCTTTTCTTTTACTACTCGCTCGATGCCTCTATTTTCCATAGGAGATGAAACGCGATCCTGACCGACGCGTGTCACGGACGTATACGAATCCTTGCGGGATTCTCAAACTTTTCGCGTGCATCCTTTTCGATCTGTTCGAACCGAATCCGAAATCCGAAAGAAAGAAATATTCCCTCTAAATCTAACCTCGACTAACTACTTATCGTCGTTATGTACTCTTTTTTGTACTCTTTTGTATTCGGACAGATATATAGATGGATAGATTCCCTTCCTTTCTCCTCGTTTTACTTGGCTCGCCGGTATCATTCACGATAACGACGAAACGCCAAAAGACCCCTATAAAGACCGAAGCACGCTTGTCGGAGGCGCGCCGGACACTGAGGGGCATCCACCACCACCACCGCCGCCGCCACCACCGCCGCCGCCGCCGCCGCCACCGCCACCACCACCACCGCCACCGCCACCGCCAGCAGCAGCAGCACCGGCACCAGCACCACCGTGGTCGCGACCACCGCCACTAATACCACCACCGAAACGCTATCCACCCACCCATCGCATAGATATACCTAGATATTGCAACAATCGGCTAAACTCCCCGATAACTTTGCGTAGCTGATCCCTCCTATACTATGCTACGCTCGAAATCGTTTCGCCGCATCCCTTCTACTCTATATTCCTTCTTCCTACCAATCTACTATATCTCCGCTCTTTTCTTTCCTCTCTCTTTTCCCTTTTTCCCTTCTTCATATTCGTTACCATCGAGTACCATCCAAAATCATCCATTACTTCGCTGCTACCGAAGAGAAATCTTCTTTCGAAACCACCCTTTTATTCGCCTCTCCTCTTTCCTCCCAACTTTTCGAACGATAACGAAATGGTATGGAATAAACGGACGTGAGAGAGGGAGGGGAGGAGAGTGAGCTTCGGAGCAGAGGCAGCACGTGATTCACGCGTGGTACTTGGCGATCCTTTTCCGTTTTCCTCGCCCTCCTTCTTGGCCCGAAAACGTACGTAATTTACGTCCGATCGATCCGTGATAAATAAAAACCGTGAGAAATATAATACAAAAAAAACAACAAGATAAAAATCGTAAAAAGATAAAAATCGAGGGATCGGATCGGTGGATTTCGTTCGATATCGCGAACGCTGTTTATCATCCTATGGAGGGGAAGAAAGAAATCGAATCGTTTAAAGAACAAGAGAGAAATTTGTTCGATTTATGAAAACAGTTGCGATAAGCCGTGCGTCGTGTCGATGGCGCCTGTAACTTTTGCGGTTCGCGACGGTCGGTGTAGAAAAGCAGCGGAAAAGATGGAAAGAGAAGGAAGCTAGCTGTAAGCATATTGATCAGAAGACGGTAGTTGGCCTGATGCCACGTGGTGATGCTGCGAGAGGCGCCGGACTCTTCTCCTATTATGACCCAACGCTCCTCTCCTTCTCTCTTACTTTCTCCTCCATCCTTCCTCCTTCTCTTCTTCCTTCGTAATCCTCCGAATTCTCTTTCCTCCTCCCCCTACCGTTATTGTTTCCAATCTCGTAGCATGTATCGTACGCGGGCTGCATACGTGGTATCGGTATCCGTTCCAACGCGTACGCACGCATCCTCTCCCCTTCTCGTCTCTCCGCTTCTTCCCGATCGCTTTTCTTTTCGCTCGCTTTTTCCTTCCTTATACCCACCCTTACGATCTCAAATTAGATTAAATTAGGACGTCGGATCAGAGAATCATTCCCTCCTTCTAACCGCGATCGCGTTATATCGCGTTGGACCAAAGAAAATTCGAAAAGAGGAAGGAGAGGAAGAAGAAGGAAAGGAAGAAAGGGAAAAAAAAGATATAACGATATAACGAAAGGAGAAAGAGGAAAATCGGCTTCGGTGCGCCATTTTTCCATCGGTCCTATCCCTCCTCCCCTCCCTCCCCCATCCCCCATCGACGCGGTGACCGTGAATCCTTTCGTTACGTTCCTTATATCCCTTTGTTCAGTTTTCTCCTTATTAAGATTGACCCGAACTAACGTCGATACGAAAATAACGCTCGTACGCGCTTGTGCGAATAAATATGCGAGCGGGGTAGGAGAGAGGGAGGGAGGGAGGGAGGGAGGGAGGGAGGGAGGGAGGAAACGTGCGTACAGTTTGTTAAAATTTGATTGGAACGTGGATACGGTGCTACGCGAAAAATAAGATTGTGCAGTGGTCGAGACGGGAAACGTATAGCGATGATTAATCTTCCGGATCTTCTCGGATTCAGCCGCCGTTTTATCGCGCTCTGGATAACGACCAACAGTCGCGGATCATTATATCGGACCGTCGTGGCAACCCTACTTCGCGCGTTATTCGCTTCTCACCCCGTTTATTTCCCTTTGTACGGGATAGATCTAACATTCGATGCCTCTTGTTCCGTGACTCAACGTCATTCTCAACGTTACCGATTTGCGAAATTTGATATTAAATTTCGATAAATAAAATTAGAAATAAAACGAATATTTTCTTGTTACGGAACATCCTTTGAACGAAATATTGCAACTTATATCTTATATAATATATATTATATCTTGTATAAAATTCTCGCGAAATCCTTACAAATTTCAAATTATCGCGTATATTTTTCAATCGCGAAAAATTGTTTTCGTTAACGAAAATGAGAATTGAGATAAATAAATTTGAGTTACTCGTTTCTGCTCCTTTTCTTCGTCGTGATAATCTTTCATCCCGTGAAAAACCAAGAAATCCGTAATATCTGTATCTTTTGCATTTGCGAAGATCAAGATGCGTCTTGTAATTTCGAAAGACGAACGACGAAAATGCGTTCGTTCGTTTGACATTCCGTATTATACCTCGTCTGTGATTACGCGCCAAGAACAATGACGGACAAGGAGGGGAAATAATATGAGAGAAGGACAGAAATAGGATAAAAATTGCGAGATCAGCGCCATCTCCGAAGTGCCGTAGATTAAACGACCCGATACAGACGAGGAGAGGAAATAATGAGAGAAGGACAGAGACGAGGTGAGAAGGAATCGTCAGAGCCATCTCTCGGATACCACGTCGAACGAAATGTTTTCGACGGTAGTTAAAGTAGAATCAGAATTGAGAATCCGAGCGCCATCCGTTGAATACCGCGTCTATCTTTTCAAAAGTGTCGAAAAATACTCGCGAGATGGCGATGATGATCGATTCTCGTTCTATCTCTATCCTTCTCTCCTTATTATTTCCTCTTTTTGTCTACGTCGCGTTTAATCCACGACGCTTCAGAGATGGCGTTGATCTCGCTGATTTCTATCCTACATCTCTGTCCTTCTCCGGCTACATCTTTTTCTCGTCCACCACTGTTCCACTGGCGAAGAGTAAAGAGCGACGAGAGATACGGAAACGTCGATTGAACGTTTCTCTTTCAAAACTACGATGCGTCTCGATCTTTAATGCAAAAAAATACAGATATCGCGAAATCTCTGTCCTTATTTTTCGCTTTTACTCGAATGTTTGAAACACGACGAAAGCACGATGAGTATAGGGGAAGTGTAAGGTAAGAGGTGTGTTCCCGAGTGTTCTCGAGACACGAAACAAAAAAAAAAATGCATTAGATCTAGATTTCGTAG